ACCCCCACCTGACTACGGGTGAAAGAAAGTTGGGGAAAAGAAGCAAGCTGTATTTCCGCAGAGGTGCACATGATGATGAGCTCAACAAATTGAGGGAATAGTTATTTGCAGTTGAAAGTTAAAATGCAGTCTTACAGCTTTTCTCTATTTGGGACTGAAGCTTGACTCTCCCCACGTAAGAGGAGACATTCCTAACACGCAATACGCTCTTAGATGAAATATTTTAATTCTGTGTTATTATTCATGAGCGCTGATTCGGGTGGGCGATTATTTGGTTCTAAAATGTAGTTTCATGAAAGGGAATATTCCATTCAACCGCTCTGAGTGGTGAAGGTGGATCATGGTTCATTAGGTAAAGAAACTTAATTAAGCACATACGAGAAATAAACAATAGAAATAAAAGAATTCATTAGAAGAAGAGAAAGCAACACCTGACTCAAGAAAAACAATGTATTCATGATTGTTCGCATTCAACCGCACATTCTCAATCCATCTCATGTTGACCGGAATTAAGCAACACAATTGATTATCAATATAACTGACTAGTGCGTAAGAGAATCAGCGCCCGAACGGGGATCACTGAAAACATTACAATTTAATTGTAAGAAACACTAAAAAGCAACAATAATGAAGTAGAGAGGATAGTTTAAGAGAAATGAACAGCTAATTTCTGTATTAGCAACACATACACCTTGATCTCTCTCTCCCTCCCTCTCTGCACTCAGTAATAACCTTCATTTTCTCAAAACAAGGCGAAACATAACGCAAATATTACTATACTTGTAAGGTTATTTCACTGATAACAGTCCCCAAGTTGAAAAATCATGCTTTTAGTATGAAATACTGCAAAATTCCAAACGTCATGTTATGCAGATAGCTATTTGGGAAAATAATCCAGGTGCCGCATAAAATTTGAAACCGCATTCGGGTGACAAGCAAATATTTTTGCCCTCCGTCTTAGTTTAAATTGCTATTTTTTCTATATTTAGGGGATGTGCATAAATTGGAGTTACTGATTCTACCTAGATATTGGATAGTGATCTCGTAATTTGGGCCATAAACTTTTCTGCCACTATAAATGTCTGTTCCCAATTACTCTTCTCCTCTCCCACCGAGGTCAGTATCACCTTTTCTCATTAAAGTTATTATTAGTTGAATTGAAGCGGTCAAATTGAGCGATCTGAGACCTCTTCAATCTAATATCAGTACATTAGCTCCATTTGCACCTCATAAACTGTTGACAACTAACCCAATTGCTGTGTCCTATATATAATTCTCGAAGTTATTTAACTCGAAGTTAACTTTACGTCGTTGTCGTACACATGTGAGGAATAATAAACTCATGTTCCTAGAAGGGTTCAAGGAGGAAATCAAACCATTCAAAGAAGGCATACAGACAATTAAGACGACTGACCGTTGAAATACGGTGAAGTGCAGAGCGTGGTGAAGGTGACAACAGGAAAATCCATTTGCATAACAGCCAGTCGCTTGCCGCGCATTATTGTGACACTCGGTGTGGTGGAATCACCTTCGTCGCCATCTATAACTGCGTCCAGACTATCTCTTCGGCTTCCACCAGCGAATACAATCACTGACTCTCTATAGAGAGGAAAGCATATTGATTAATAGACCATTATAAAACAAAGGGCGAGTTTAGGAAGAAGCTTTTATTAGAAAGCGATAACGCCTAAATTGAAGAGGAAAAATTACATTTCGGATGCTAATGCGAAAAATTTCAAGTCTAAGAAGCATTTAAATTGAAGAGGAAAAATACACCCTTCGATCACCCTACGAAAGCCTCATATTCTTCCACTGGAGTATCTGTTCATTGAATAAGCAACAACAACAATTCGATCTCTGAAATTCGTGACTTCAGCTTTGAAGAAAGCGCAAGCAGTGGAACTAATGAGGGGAGATTTTCGGGTTACATTTATTTCAGGTTATCATTTCCTCGTCTATCTTAGATTAGGGTTGGGTCTAAACTTCAAACTGCTTCCTGATTGGACAAATTTACACTCAAAACCCCAATTTTGTCTGACATCTTCATAAACCACTGTTGCGTTGATCATTGCCTTAATAGAATCACGTGTTGCAATTACTTAATCTGACCATTTAGAGTGAAAGAAACAAGACCTGAGTGAGGTAATGCAGCATTAGGCGATTTGCCCTTAATGAAATTCTGCGCACTACTAAAAAGAAATACTAGAGATAGAAGTAACGCAAACAAACTATCCAATTACTAATAACCAACATTAAGAGAAGGCCTTCTTATTACCTTAGAAGACGCTGTGCGAAACCACAGCAAAAAAGCAAACGTGCTTGAAATCTGACACCCTGTGCAATTATCTACCCCCATCATCTTCAAATTTCGACTACTCCAAATGACTTAAGACAAGGAGGCAAAAGTTGCAAGTCAAGTCACCCAAAATACCCGGCTACAGAAGAATCCAATTAGTAGTTAAACGAACATTATTTCATCGTGGAAAATAATAGATTTGGATAAAAGTGAACCAACCGCCGAAAGTGAAAAGAAGGGTAGGGAAATAACTCCCGGTCTCTTGCGTATCAAATTTAAAAATATTCCCATATGGGCAATAGGACATAGGAAGTGTTGGAGGTAGATACTCCGAGTCGATATAACTCTCCTATAACTTCCTTCTTATATACTACTGGATAGACGCCAAAAGCTTCGAGCATAATTCTCACTCTAAATTTTAAGAAGGAAAATTTAACACATTTGTGGCATATAAAGCGTTAGAGGTTATTGTGCAGTATATACTAAGTATGAAGCATAGAGGAGACACCCTAATGAATACACAATTCTGACTAATTAGTCCTTATTTTAACACTCCACACCCATTTATTACTCAATGGTACAGCTCTTCGTGTTCTGAATATATAAAGAAATAGTTTGCTCAATTGAGATCAAGTGGTTGTGGCATATTTATAGCTTTAAGCGATGATAAAACGGGTTATACTTGAAGGAGTGGTTTAAACGGTAAAATTTTATTCGTTCAAGAAGGGGATAAAATTGACCTACAAACTTTAAAACAAGCGTTTGGCATTAATGATGCAAAAAAGACAATAGAGGCAGACTTTAAATCGGGTAAATTTTATTAAATGCTCTGAGTTAGTAATAATTCGGGCTTTATTTGCATTAATACATTTAACAATATGATTCATTATATTAGTAAACACTTTTTACACGGGGAATTGGAGAAATAACCACCTATAAAATTGAAACTAAGATCCCATTTAAAGACTATAATTTATGATACACGAGTTCAAAAGTAATAATTCCTAGCCAGAAGGTAATGGGTTAAAATGAGCACGATCATGAATGCACTGAAAGCACTGTTAGGCCTTTCTATAAGCGATCCCACGTAATAAAACGAGAATTCAACATAATTGACAGAGTAATGCAAATTTACATTCAATCACTCAGGCTATAAACTTATTTTTGCTTAATTTAAGATGCGAGTAAACCGGGGGGGGGGGTTCAGAAAAATGCTAAAACAAATTGTGCAGAATCGGACAAGAAGATTGTGCCTCATTTTATGAATTATGAAGTAAATCAGATTAGGCCCGATTTGGGCAATAAAAGTAGGCAGAAGTAAGATGAGAATCAGTGGGAGAGAAGGTAATACAATTTCCAGAAGAAATTATGCCCAGGAGAGTATTTTACTTCATTACACTGTAAGGACTTTTCTTGATTTTGAATGAGGAGAAAAAGGCCTTTTAGTATTTTGTTCATAAGGCGTAAAAGCAGAAAACACAGAACACCTTATTGTAAGTGGAATTAATATACTTTTGATAGAATCGTCAATCCCCCCACTTGAACGCGAAATCAAATCAGCATATCAGTGGAACTACCACGTAATTTCACTCATGATGTAGTCCTACATCAGGATATTGCAAGAAAATGAATAGCAGCGTAATTCATGATTCGAATAAGGTAAGACCTGCGATGCTCCATCTTTACAACCCACCTATAATTAGCAAAATGTACCGTTGATATGGACAATACTTAGTAGTAATAAGGACGAAATAAGCAGCCAATTAGCCTAATGAACCAATCTTACAGAGATTGCATTTAGTGCTCATTTTATTTGAGGTAGCTATGCCGGTATTTATGTTGGAGAAGAAACAATCCTTCAGATTGACGTAGATTTAAAGGAGCGTTTTCTTCTGACGGGTTAAGCAAATGTTTAAGCAAATACAAGCCTTTGCGCATCAATTGACCCCCCCCCCAATCACCTCACATCAAAAAGGGGTTTCAGTGATTTGTCAGTCAAAGCTTGAGTGCATTGACTGCTGTTAAAATGGATGGATAAGATAAAGTCAATGTTTACAGGTTATTGAGAAAACTGAAGGGTTTTATAATGCCCCTAGCACTGAAATAAACTATGAGCACACCTAGTTGTAATTTCAAAATTTAGATTCACGAAATTAGGTATTGTGTTGGCCTTCCCGTAAGTTAAATTAACCTTCATTAAACAAGCAAGTGACCACGTGAAACGTATGATGTTTTTTTTTGTTTAATAGTTAATGCAGCCAATAATGTCAGAGCTTCCTTTAGTTAAATCACTTAAAAAAAAGAGATTTAATTAAGAACCACAAGCCGACAAATATTTGCGCAAAAGTGCACACTAATTTAACTAAACGACTGACTACATGGAGGAGTGGAGTTAACTTGCAAATACGTAGCTTCGCCTATAAACACCCCTCCCCTCCCCCCCCTCCCCCTCCTCCTCCTCCCCCCCCCATCGCCGTCCTACCTACCCACCCACCCACCAACGTTTTTACGAGGTTTGCCAAGCATAAAATGCGTAATGATGAAGTCCTTAGGAGGAGGAGGAGGAGGAGGAAGAGGAGGAGCTCTCGCGCTCTCCCTCTCGGTGGTTAAATAGCATGTATGACATGTTGTTAAGGCAAGCGAAGTCATACTCACCCATTTTTGCTGGGTAGCCATTGGACACAACGTATTGGCTCGAAGGAGTACTGGGAGGAATCGGGCACCTCTTCTTCGCCAGCTTTAAAACAATGAAATAACAACAATAATAATAATAATAATAATAATAATATGTAATGAACATTCAAAGAATAAACTATCCATGCAACCATTCTTCCTAATATTTTTCGATATTGGATGTGTATTTGTATATAGTTTTATTTTCTAAAGACAAGTATGGCATTGAATAGATGTTTTTTTCAAGTGGCAGGCGTTTCGATAGTTATCATTAGTCCTTTAGCTGACCTCGGGCTTCACAGAGAGGAGGAGGAACAAAAAAGTGGCAAAAAGTCGAGAAGGGGGACAAAATAATGATTCGCAGATGTAAAAGAGACAGACAAAGGTAGAGAAGAGGTAAGATGAGTACTGTGAAAGTGGTTGAATATGGCGTACAGTGGGGTGATGGCAGTTTGAAGTCAGAAGTCAATTGCCAGTTAATAGACTTTTTTGTCATATGAGTATACGTTGCCCAGGGTGCACCACGTGACGGTAAGTCTATCGTACATCCCGAATTGAATAGATGTAACATATATAGCAATTAGAAAGCCAATTTCTAGAAAAAAGAATCTACCGATGTGTATTTGCTCAAGAAAGGTGCAAAGGTCTTTAAGAACACTCAAGCATAATCTCTAGTTATCGGTTTCATAGTAGAGGACCTAGAGGTGGTAGAAAATGCAAGAAAGTGTCCATAAGTAAATTTATTTACAAAGTAAACCCCATTTATGTGATATTCTCAAATTCCATTTACGAAAAGCAACGCACCAAGTGTTGAGTTAATTAAATTTCAAATATAGCAAATAAAGAACTTGTGATGGCCAGACACCCTCGATTTTGATTAACAAATCATTAGCCTCACCCACCCCCATGACGCTTTAACTCAAACGACATCTGATCTAGGCAAGACGCGTACTCACTGGCGTACCCTGGGTTTCTGTCAGTAGTCAATACTAACCTAAGCAATCAATTCATTAAAAATATTAAATGCATTGAAGGAAAGAATTCGTGGCCTTAACTTCTTGAATTTGAAATGGAGAATGAGAGTGAAGTTCGCGAATTTAGCTTCGATATTTGTAACTCAGCTTAGTTTTCTAGTTGCCCTGAACGGGTTATAATGAGCCACCAACACTTTCTGCTTATGTTTGTAGCAAATAACTTACCGTGACAAGAGATGAAAACACACACACACACACAATTTCCTTTTGTAATCGATGCTTATATCCAATGGTAGGTTTATGGTAGTTATTATTAGTTCTTTAGTTGACTTCGGGCTTCACAGAGGGGAGGAACAGACAAAGTAACAAAAAGTCGAGAGGATGGAGGAAAAGAAGAGTGATTTACAGATGTAAAAGGGACAGACACAAAGGCAAAGAAAAGGTAAGATGAGTACTGTGAAAGGGATCGAATATGGCATAAAGTGGGGTCATGGTAGTCTGAAGTCAACTATCGGTTTATAGATTTTTGCGATAGCCTAGTGAGAGAGCGAATAATCATCGGACGCTGTTGGTACGCTGAATCTACATGTCCTTCTGTAATATGATCTAAAAAGCTCGATTTCGATTTTGATCATCGGTTAAGGATCAAAGTTCAAAGCATAATGTCATTGAGCAATTAGTTAAATTAATAGATTATGTTTTTAAAAAAAAACATTAATACAACATGAGATTACCAAAAATAATTTTCCAAAATCTGTCGTCGAATAGTTTTTTTTCAAAGAATATCTGATTTCTAAAGTGAGGTCTCATAAATCTCCCATTAATATGACCACCCGCATTCAGGCAATGCGAAAATCTTGATACTAATTTTGTGATCAGATTAAAGTAAGTAATTATTAGTGCTTGCTGAGGATATCCAAAGCATAAAAGGAGTTTTTTTTCATACAATTCGTGTTGGGCCTTGTGTCTGTCTCCTCAAAGAAACTTCATGTGGTGGGAAAATAAAAAGTCCTCCTCCATTCGATTGGACCCCAGTCCCTTCCCCCACCCCCCCCACCCTCTTTTTAACAAAATCCTTCTTCCTCCTTAACTCTCTCTCTCTCACCTGCAGTACACAAATCACCTGTTAGAGTAATTATTCCAAAACATGCCCAGAGAACAGAATCTTTTAAGCAAAAAACCATTTGTCAAGCAATTTAATTGCCTCCCGATTAAATCTTATCCCATGTGATTTTTAATCCTTGTTGCATACAACTCAGGGAAAGTAATGCAGATGGACTAGTCTTGCCAATTAAGGAAGTAATTCAAGGATGAATTAAAGCACAAAATCAATCAAATGAAGAGATGAGCAGTTCAGTCGGAAATTTAACGCAAATTTAGGTGTTTTGCCATCCGGTGTGGGTACCTACACATCCTCGTGAATTCCGGCATTTCCTCAATGTGTCAGTATACCTACGGGACTACATGTCAGTAGACTATTTTCAAAAGTCATAAGATTCAACTTTTTTTCTTTAGGACACTTGAATGAAACAATCGAATCTCAGATTTAAATTTACTTTTCGAAGTTCCTAGTTTTCTCAATTGACACTTCCATCTAATCTTATTGTGGGACGATAGTCATTGAAAGAGTGGACCAACAAATGCATTATTTAAAAAAACGACAACCATATTAGATACCTTGATACTGAAGCCTTGAACCTTAAGGTCTCTCCCCCGCCCCACATGTCTGCAAAACTTAGAACTGTTAATTTAAACTTATAGGCCTCAAATAAAATACGAGGCCAGAAAGTAGACCCAATTAATTGATTGTGACGTCTAATGTCTATTTTGACTGTCAAACTCTTCCACCATTAAATCGACAAAGATGGCCTTTTTCAAGATATTTTTGGTAGACAAAATTCAAGCTCAAATAAAATTGAATTTGACGTGATGAAGGTCGAAAAACAATGTCAAAGTAGCCAAGAAGTGGAAACCCAACTCTCAGACAAGAGAGGAAGAGAGATGGCAAAAGTGCGATTAGGACAAAGTATATGTTGGATAAACAAAGTGAGAAGTGACAGTGAGAACAATTTCATATTTGGATAAGGGGGAGGGGGGAGTAAGAGGGAGACAAAGAGTTCATATGAGTATATAATGGATCAGTGGAAAAACGGCAAAAACTTAAAGGGATATAGGATACCTGATTGTTTTTTCTTTAAAATAAGACCATTTTTCTCCTATTATCACTTATGCTACCTTAAGACTCCTGTTAGGCACATTTGCAGTCTTAAAAATCAAAGAAGGTGCTGGAAGCAAGAGCAATTGGTTTGCGCTATGAAATATAAAATTTTTGCCAAGCTAATAAAAATAATTGGTCACTAGCCTGATAAAGGACAAACCATCATTTACTGAAAGCAAAGTATCTCTAATTGGATAAACTCATACGCAAATTAGTGATATACAAGAAGAGATTCATCTTCAACAAATACTTGAATTTTAAACTCGGTGAACAATTTACAAGCCTACTGGTATGTCCGAATACGTAAATAACTGTAAATAGAGTACTCCAACCAGATCCGGAACCATTCAATGAGTTGTAGAAAAATCATCATAATAACATTTTTTCGTCACCAGTTGATGTAGATATCTCTAGATGTTATTTGAAGAAGCCATAAATATTTATTGCCTTCTTACCGTGAGGACATATAACAGACTGAGGACGATTGGGTTGATTTAGAGCCCACGTAACGATTGTGCCTGAACTGTGAGCCGAAATGAACGCTTTGCCCTCCCAGTGCCAGGAGAAACTATAGAGCGTCTAAAAAAAGACAAAAAAATCAGCCAACTAAAAAGTTGTGGAAAAAAATAACTGGAAATAAAGTCGAAGCTACAGGTAATACTGTCTTTATCAATGATTCAAATCGTAGAAACGTCAAAAATATCACGCCTACCATTTGGTAGGTAGAGTTAGCATATAGCGTAAAAAACAAAGTCACATTTAATTCGGCTATTTTAAACGAACATTGGCCAAATTTTACAACATTGTGCGCACATAAAGTTCAAATATGTACTTAGAATGAAGATATTTCGTAGATAAATGATTAATTGGGTAAATAGGCATTTGATGATTTTAGCAGAAATTAAGAAGAAATCGCATTTCCTAATTCCGAATTTGGTATATCTCGAGTTGCTCCCAAAATAGAAAGTGAACACCAGGACCTGTGGGGTTATGCAACAGTAGGATTTACCCAAACAAGTCAACGACTGCACATTTTAATAAACACCCAAAAATTAAAAATTAAATGAATGGGAAAAAATTAATTCTTATTGTCTGGAAATTTAAAATAAAGTAGAAAATGTGTTTACTTTATGTTTTCTAAAAGTGGTTAGCAAATCTCCAAAACACCATGACCTTGAGGCGGCTTCTCTAAAGCCAAAAAGATCTTCACAACTAAGCTCTTTCCGGTAAATTTAATTACCAACAAAATGATACACTTAAAGACGAATTAAGGCATCATCCATACTCCATATGCATATCAGAAAGTAGCGATCAATAAGCATGATAATAACCTTATTTGGACTCAGAGAAGAAAAGCACAGAGCATTGAAGGGAAACTGAGATGGGAAATAGATAGCCCATTTTCCTCTAGCCAATAAATCCAAACACTCACGCTTCCGCCAAGGACCTCCTGATTAAAGAATTTGGCATCGAACGCGCGTCTGGCAAGTATTAGGCGAGTCGGAGGGTATGAGCGAAGAAAGCAAGGAGTGACGGTGAAGGCGGTGAAATAATCACGACGCCTTGCATTTGAGCGCGTATAAACGCTTCCGCCACGACCCCACCCCTCCCCTCCCCTCCTTCTTATCTGATTTCCCTTTAATTCCCAATTACAATTAAGGGAAAATTCAACAACACTGTTGATAACTTTATATAAAGTACATTGCAAAAGGAAGGATTTGAAAAGAGCCAAAGTTGTTTTGTTTTGTTCAGGGATGAACTGATTTAATTTTCATGCACGGCGAAAGGGGCACTTTGAAAAGGAGGAGCTCAAGAAATTTTGTTAGTTTTAAATAAAATAGGAAATTTAGAAGGAGGATTTTTGCGAAAGTAGGCAAAAAAAATCGATCTCTCAGTGAGAAGAAAGGAATTCAACAGGTGCAAATGCCACTGAAATTCCCACACAAGCCATAATTTTAACAACGTTAGCCAATTCGCAATAAATTTTATTTATTGCAAGCAATCTAATCTTCAATATTAATGACCTAGTTCTTGAATACAACCCTATTTGTCTATCATTGAACGGGTACCCCTCTCACACTAAAAGTGTAACAGCTAATACCAACCGCCATCATTTGGTTATTAATGGAAAGGACGGCCATAGTGATTGCCCCCCACCCCACCCCCAAATCACTAAACTCCCTACACTAGTCATAAAACTTCACTCCGAGCCCAGTGGCCAAGTCCTAAAATCTCGAATACAAGATCTCAGCACATGGAGCAATGAACACTAAACATCAAGTAAAAGTCCAATTCAAAAGAGGAAATACGAATCTGTCAGCTGGACTTATTTCTTTAATTACACTTGGCTTGTACACACACCCTTCTTTTCCCATTGGGAAATCAACTGAGTTCTGTGTTAAGATGGCCACCCAATAGTTAGAATGTGCTATCGTCATTAAGTTAGCACAAGCAGCAATGAAAAAGATTAATAGTTAGGCGAAGAAGATTATTGAAGCATTTTATTGAGAGAGAGAGAGAGAGAGAGAGGGGAGGGGGAGAGGGAGGGACAGCATTGAGATGAGTGGAAAGCGGAGAGGATATTTAATAAGATACAGTTGCGCTTGCGAGAGTTGCCTCAGCTTCTCTTCATCAACTTTACCAATACGCACTCACGCACAATCTCATTATGCATTCATGCCCTCTCTCTCCCTCCCTCCCTCCCTCCCCCCACCCTCTCCCCCCCTCCCCCCTACTACTCACTCATGTTCACTCCTTAATACACTGCGTGTCACTAGTGACACATTGTGAAGTTGCCCCAAGGCTTGAATAAACATAGACGATGATTAATCATTAGTATTGATATTTCGTAGAGAGAGAGTAAAATACTCTTCTGTTCACCTACAGATATCAACGCAGTAGTTGAACTGAAAAGTTATTGGTGAATCAGCTCGACTGAGGCCTCTTCAATCGACAAACGCCAAAGGTGCACTCAGGAGAATATTTTTTTTATCTCGGCCAGCTATTCATTAATACTTTGGAGAGTCGAAAACTGTCACCTTATTTATCCAACAGATAGGTAAAGTGTTATTCTCTCGTCTTCTGACTTTGAGTAAATGGGGATGGTAATATTGAAGAACTCGCTATTACAATCTTAAACTCAATGGACAACCCAATAAGCAGTAGAAAGTGGAAATTTTGAGCGGCAATCATGTCCGGAAAACCAGATCGTAATTATTAACGCCCTATAACTCTAATGAAAAAACTATCGATATAGCAACAGTTATATAGCGATATGAGAGAAAGCCAAATCTCCCAAACTAAGATCAGCTTTATTTCAACCTTCCTTCGCACAAAGTGGAAGCCGATTAACTTACATCTAAAAGGAAGTGAATCCTAAACAAAATGTTGCCACATTAAAATCCCACGTCAAAGCTGATACAAAATTTTCTGCCACAATTTAGCATTAAAAGCTGACGGTTTTGACTAAATCACAAAAACAAAAGCTTGTAAATTTTACTGTTTTAAACCCCAAGATAATCTTGAAAGCTCTCATTAAAAAAACCAACTTTAAACAGAAATTTTTTTACTGAAAAAGAAGACAAATAACAAATATTTTCATCACAAAAAACATCACTAACCTCATGATAGTTGAATCTGGCCTCAGCAGCTTTAGCTCGAAGGTCCCAGAGCACAAGAAGACCCGAGGAGTAGCCAATCAAAAGTTTGTTGGAATCCTGCGGATGTTCAGCCAATTGAACCACGGAACCGGGGCGTTGGGATTGGGTACTGGGGAGAGGGGCGCGGATGGAGGGGGGGGGAGGATCAAGTGGAGAGAAAAAGTTGGCTTTATTAACAATTTATCGCACAAAAGCGTACAGCATTTTCCTCCTACTCCTTTATTTTGTGCTCGAAGCGTAAATAATTCAAACACAAGCCGAGGAAAGGAGACACAAATAAAGAGAACCATAGAACTTCCTGAATATGTGTCTCCTTTTTGTATATAATAGAGAAGTTATTTCTCATCCTAAATGCAATATAATTCATGAAGTTGTGCTTAAAAAAAGGTAGACGAGAGTCCGATTGGTGGAATGAAGCAGATCGCCGAACAAAAGCAGAAGTTAACTATTGACTGGTATGTGGAAATAGAATTGCAATACTGCTCAAATGATCAACGCAATCGGTTTTTTCACAGAGAGATGGCAAATGTGTTGTCACCAGCTTTCTCCGAACTGGAAAGCATAAATTCTCTGCGCACAATAGTTTTAAAGGGGAAACAGCGCAGCAGAAAATCATTAAAAAAGAGCCAGCATTTCAAAGCTACCCAAGGAGGTGATATAATTAGGTCTTAGGCAAAAAATATAGACGTTGTTTTAAATTGAGATGAAGTACAAGAATACAAGTAAATTGGTCTTGAGTAGACAATCGATACTAACTAAACGCGTTTTTCAAATGTGCGATCTTGATCGGAGAAAGGTGTGGTAGCCAATCATTGAATAATAAGAGTAATTTAAGGTGATTTTAAGGTAAGAAGGAGGGGGGGGGGGGGGGGAACTTAGCCCGTTTCTTCAAAGTGGGATCGGTGTTGTAAGTATGAAAGAAATTATGCTTGCCGTTTGCAAAAATATTCCGAGGAAAGAAGTGACCAAACAATCAAAACTACACCATAGCTACTCAGCATCACAAATTTCATGATACAAAAAATGCTCTTGTATTAGATTACAAAATTAAAATGCCGCCACATCTGTGAGCGATGCATATGGTCAGATAAGATATCAACAAGTCACGCAAGTTTAAATTGTAAAAAAGTGGGCCATTTTGCATTGCAGAGATCACACACACACACGCACACACACACGCACACACACACACACACACACACACACACACACACACACACACACACACACACAGAGAACTGTGCCACCAAACACGCGCTAGTTAAATAGTAGGCGTTTTTGTCGACGGCATAGTAAATTAAAATTAATTAATAATAACATTCGTAATGCGTGATAGCTCAGAAGCGTACTATCACAGGCCGATTTATAAGCCATTTGGACATGCAACCAAAAAAAATAACTCCAAAGGCTGCAGGTCACTCATATTTACTGTCAAATAAGCAAGAAGCGGCTGCACTATACATCCATTTTCAAAATTCATCGAGAAATGAAACAACAAAAGCATCTGAGCAACAGTTTTGATTAATTCGTTTTCGATAGTGTCCAGTGAAGTAGGTAGTGAAATCGATAATCTCCACAGCACAGAAGACATGAAACAACCTGTCGGTATTAAATTATTAGAGTGCGTAGAAAGGAATAGGACCAGTGTCCCCGATAGTTAAGACGATATTCGTCAACTTTTTTACCCGTCAAAAGAAGACCTTAACTCCTTTTGCTGTTAAAATAAGGAACCCCTTCCATTGAAATTGAACTTTCGATCCAATATGTTATTGTTAAAGGCACTATCATATAGTATAGTCATAAACGTCAAAATACTTCTAATATGGAACATTCGAGGCAAGTGTAGGTAGATCGATAATGATCGTGCCCATTTGGGAGTGTGAATGACAAGTCACTTTTGATAAGTATCACGCACAAATAAGATGATTCGAAAATTGAGAGGCTCTTAAATTGGGAGGCAAAAAGCATTGCCCGTCTGCTTAATGTGATGCATGTTTGAAAGACTGAGTCAATTGTAATATGCTCAACTATTGATCGGTCAATTATAGGTAATAAAATGTCGTTAATCCCAGAGCGCAAGGATCTCTCTCTCTCCCCTCCCCCCATCCCTCCCTCTCTCAACATGGCATATCGCAGCTTTCACTTGAGGTAATAAAAAATAACCTCAACTGGCAACAACCCGAAATGCCCTACACACGGCATATTCTGTACTGAGAAAAAAAGAGAGGAAAACGCTCGCAAATAATACCCAAATCGCCACATGGAGATTGGGAATGTTTGTCTTCTTCTTCCTTCCTGCCTAGATTGGACTTCATTTTATGCCAACAGGATGATTCGCAAGCAAATAAAAAATGGGATTTGAGTAGGCGAGGCAAGCGTAAAACAAACGCGTCTTAAATTGAGCAAATAACCCCCCTCCCTCCCCTCCAACTCCACCCCACCCCACCCCACCCCCGTCAACGTTCATATCCTATTTCTGCCACTTGTAATGGATCTCACCCAACAAGCAGCACATGAATTGATGGACATACATACACACATATATATGGGATATGTAAATTTGTTAGAGGCTTATCTCAAAGAGCAACATAAAATTTAACCCAGATTATACCTTTATTACCCAAAAGATTAGCGAATTATTAAATAACCGTCTGCCAATTAAAGATATCAGAGAAAAGTATAACAAAGATCATAAAATGTATTAAATTAAAATTTGTAAACAAATAAAAATGAAAGAATATATTTTGTTACATTTTAACACTTCTTGCATATTAGAAGATTCAAACATATCGAAGTGGCGTAACTAAATATTCCACTCAATAAACAATTAAGTAGGTTCTGTACGTCTCAATAATGAGACCTTAAGGAACAAATTTCAGCCCTAAAATTGGGCACATAGAAGAATATTTCCCAGTGATTAAATATAAATTAAGGAGCTAGAACAAGTTGTCAACAAAAGGCCTCAAAACTATAATCCATAGCGGCGCTCTCTTATTGGACCATATCTATCGGTTAAATTATTTTTAAATAAGGACATAGCACGCTTTCACGCTCGCACGTTTGATTTTTTCAAGCAAAAATATAAGACGATAATAATCGTGCATTTTCCCATAAATCTAATTTGCATAATAATAATAATAATAATGGCCGAGGGATTTAGCCCCTGGAAACAGGAGCTATTTGTATCTTCGCTAATCGATTGAAATATATCAACACAGGAAGGTTTATATAAATATAGAATTCACTAAATAAAGAACTAATTTGTTCGATCATTTAATTGAAAATAGGAGGGGGAGGGGAGGGGGGAGCAAGTGAATGGGTAATGTTGCGTCTTAATGTTAAAGCGACGCCCGATCACCCGTTTTGATTGACTCACTGACTAATCAAGTATTCAGGCAAAACGCGGGAAAAAAATTAGTTCCCCAGAGGAATTTCAGCTAAAATGGAGCTTCGCGCTTAAAAGCACAACTTTGTACTCAAAAATGCCAAAGATTTATTTCATTCGAGCAGATATTTAAGCTAATGAGCCACCTCAGAACTTTGTCCGATTTTTCAGAATAGACAAAAGTATGTTTGTTAGAAATTGCGTCATAATAATGTCAAAGTGACTTAAATTTTTAAGTCATGATGGCAATTCAATGAAAATCAAACAACATCTGAATCTAGGACTAAGGTGGCAAGGGATAAGGGCAAATAGGTTAATTGGCGACTATATAATCCTTTAAAGCCAGATTTATTATTATTTTTTTTGAAAAAATGCACCCAACCGAACTCACGCGTGTCTCCCACCAGAGTAATGTCGTCGACGTGAGGAGTTTTGGTAGTGTCAGGCGAAAGTTATAGACGTATTAAACTTATTTCAAAAGACAATAGCGCCTTTTGTTACGAGTCTAGTACCAATGAAACTTATTTTAAAAGAGGACCATATGATCATGCAGGGCGTCAGAGGGTTAATAAAAATATGCGCATTATTTCGATATAATTTCCAGTATAGATATTTTTTTCTTCTGCAATTATAATGGAAGTGGAACTTACACATTGATGGCTCGATTCCAATTAATGACGTATCCGGAGGTGGTGAATTGTTGAACGCTAACGAAGTGAACATTGCCTTGATCTGATCCAATACTGAGCCAAGAACTGCTCACAGCCAGATATCCGCAGGTTAACCTAGCATGGAAATTGGTGTATGAATTAACACGACTGGCAAACGATTATAAATAATCTAAGAGCTTGCTAGTTTATGTCCCAAATTAATGCCAAAATAGCCCAAAGTACAATTTAAATTTTTTAATACTGTCGTATTAAAGATATGAATTAACCAAAAAGGAAATCGCTAAATGCAAACTCTTGAACAATAACAAATAATCTGGTTTTGACCAGTGAATTAAGCAAAAAATGTGTGCTTTTTTGAGGGAAAATACCCAGTCTCACTTCTGTAAATCTCATACAAAAAGTCGAAAGCACAAACGTTACTCGAAGCCAAAAAAAATTATCACCAAAATTAGTATTTAACAAATATTTACACTTAAAATCCAACGAGATTAGACAATTTTGATAACTACGAGGAAGACACTATTAATTAATATGACTGATATTAGGAAATATTTAAAATCAAAATGATGGTTAGTACAGGCAGCATTAAATAAATAACAGGTTTTCGATTTTAAAATTAGCCTTGGTAAATCGGTATATTTCATCAGGAAAACACGGACAGGAAAATTAACAGAGATCGATTTCTGCGTTCTGGTGGTGTATTGGGCTAGACATAACCTAATAACAGCAGAAATTCCGAGGTCAGTAAAATCAATTCAATGGAGAAGACCCACCTGATTCGATGTCCAGCCCTAAAGACAACGACGGAAAGGCAGAGATACTGGGAAGCAAGAAGACAACTAATGAACTGCTCTAAATGTACCCCCCCCCCACCCTTGGGGAAGCTGAAGTCAAAGTTGAAGGGCTAATGATAAATATCACAAAGCCTGCCATTTGAAATAATAATAATAAAACATTCCTAGCAGTCGTTCCATGGAAAGCAGAGTGGATTCTAACAAAAACCAGTTCCATTGAGCTGAGATTGATGCTTCCGCACATATATTTATATATAATGCCTTTCTTGATGCAATTTATATATTAGCACAAGCTAATTAGAGGTGAATTTTCGGTGAAAAGTGTACAAATGACAAGGTAGAATAGAAATAAGACAATAAATTGTTGGTTACAAGTACCTAAAAAACGGAGCCTACTTCGTGTGAGAGTTCAAAAAAACCAACAACAGAAATTCCACAATCATTCCAATTTCAAGTTCTACAGCTGCTAATAGATCAACTCTAGCGCTATGTTGTTGGGAGGAAGTAATAAAATTGTGACCGATTGATCAACCAAAGCCTAAAAATAGTAATTATTCAGAAACTTTGGTAAAAAAAGTCTTGAAAATGAGAAGACACTAACAATTAAACAATTTTGTCACCACTGCTCGGTTTCACTTGTTAATTTATTTATAGATTTCAAAAGAAACAATCCGTTACTAGTGGTACTTTCCTTTCATTTCCAAACTACTTTTCGTAACAACAATAGCTCAATTGTATAAATACTGAGTGCCTATTTACCTTGCCACTCCCCCCCCCTCCCCCC